TTTTTTGTATTTAGAAATAATAGTACCAACTTTTTTTTTTTTTTTCAACATTTGTGGCACTGGCGTGGCGCCCCCTGATGGACGGCGCCTTTAGCGTTTGCCTATACGGCCTATGCCACGGGCCGGCCCTGCTGGCAGGGCTAGGGGCCAGGACTCTCCTCTTCGGGTTTTTGGATCTGGATGTTTACGCCATTGCTCTGTCTGCAGTCTAAACCTAATCCTAACAGTAAACAGTAAGCGTTCTTATGTAGCGCTTTATATAACCTGCCTCATTCACTCATTTACAGAAGCACTTAAAAATCTCTGAACATGGAATGATAGATGTTTTCGAATTCATCAAAGAGCAACTTGTGTTTGAGTATCTTTCCCAAGGATACATTGGCATGCAGACTGGAGCAGCCAGGGTTTGAACCACCAGCCTTCCAGTTAGTAGATGACCTGCTCTGCCTATTGGGTAGGAAGTCTTTGATATTTGCTAGAGTTTTTTTTTTTTTTTCGTCATCTGTTTGCAAAGACTTGTGAGAACAATTCAATGAGTATATAAAAAAAATTAGGTCAAGGTTAGTCAGTGATGATGATTTATACCTCAGAGGGTTAACAGTTATCTGTGGGTGAAATGTGCATGTGTAAGGAGCTTGGTGACTTTGTTGGTGGTTTTGCCTAGAGCAAAAAACGCTTCTGGAAGGGATGAGCCATCTTATGAGCTTTTGAAGCTCATAGAGATAATTTGGTTTTAAAGGAAGTCGTATCATTGCTCAGGTCAGTTGCCGGCAGAATGGAAATGGGTTGTTTTTCTAGCTGTCAGACTTGGCGATGAAAACAATTGTTTCAGCCACACAGTACTTCTACAATAAAATGATGTCTATGATGTGTTCTTTTCTCGATAGACAAAAACTTGAAGCAGTTTACATAAATACAATTTTATATCAACTGACCATAAAATAGATAGCACAGTGGCACAACAAGAAGGTCCTGGCTTTGGCCTTTCCGTGCAGGGGTTTGCATGTTTGTGTGGTACTCTGGCTTCCGCTCACAGTCCAGACATGCAGTTATTGGGATTAGGTTAATTTGAAAATGGTGGTAGGTGTGAATGTGAGCATGAATAATCTCTCTGTGTTAGCTGTGTGACAAAGTGGTGACCTGTCCGGGGTCTTATGGCAGCTGGGATAGGCTCCTTGCCCCCCATGACCCTGACTTGGATAAGCAGAAGAGGATGGAATTAAAGTACATCTACATGATGCTCATAATGTCCTTAAAGGGACTTTCTTAATCCATCTATTCTCTTATGCTTATCCAAATCCCCCAAAGGAAGCAATCTTTTACCAGCAGGCATGTTTTCAGATGTCTGCTGCTGTATTTTTTAAAGCCCTGCCCCCATTTCTTCTGGGGGCGGGATTTCCTTTTCCCAGGTCACCATAGTAAATAAAAATGCTTCTCAGTGACTTGCCTGGTTAAATAATGAATTACATTAATGTGATGCACTATGTTTTTGTACAAACTGGTCTTGCACAGAAGTACAGCCCCGCTCTAGTTCAACTTCAGTTGATGTCTCTTCAACACAAAACAGATTTTTTGAACATTTTTGGATTATTTGATAGCTTTACTTCATTTCGAAGGTTTTTAGCTAGTTTGGAGATCAGAAATATACAAAAAGTAGCTTTTAAGTACCTTGTATTTTTCATTGATTATATGGTGATTTATGATACAGGGTTTCTTTGAGCATCAGGGATGTTGGCTAGTTGGTAATCCTGGATTCTCTATCCCTCGTTTCACTATACCCGGCTCGCAAACATTATCAGTGGGGTGTGTGATTATTGATCACACGATGAGTTTCTGTTGTTTATTTTGGTATAGATGTCGGTCTGTTAATTAGACTGAGCTCAATGTTTTGATTGTTTTTCCTGTCTTGCTTCTGTGGCTCACCTGTGTTTCCTGGAGTCAGTCGGCCATCGGTCTAAATGAAGAGAGTATAACTGACTGGAGCACAAGAGCAGTGAGGCAAATTATAGGAGTGATTTTCTGTAGTCTGTGACACTTTATGAATATATGGATGAACAGTACCAATACTATAGTTACCCACAATCAAAAGGCATGGCAGCAGGAAGAAGGATTACTTTTGAGAAAAACAATCCAGACGAGTAAAAACTCATCATATGTATATCTCGAGATGATGTGCACCATGTCCTCAAAAAGTCTGAAGAAACTGGACAAGTGGAGGACAAAAGAAGAAGTGACGGGACTGAAAACCCATGTACAGCAGATGAACAGCATCTGGAAGTCATGTCCTCAAGAAACAGGAATAAACCAGCAAATAGTAAAGCACAGTTCTGTGCATTTGAACCTGTGGTGTTGTGCATTCATGTCAAAACTGATGGGATTATGAATTCAGAAAAGTACTATCAGAGTTTAATCCACCATGCAATACCATCTGAAAAGTGTCTGATTGGTTAAGCCTTGATTTTTTTCATCAGGGCAATGATCCCAAACACTCTGCCAATGCAGAAAAAAAGACCTGGATAGAGGAACTATTCCTGAAGAAACAACAAGAAAGCTGCCTAAGAGAGTTCAGACTGTGTTGGAGGATAAAGGGCCTCACACCAAATATTAACTAACTAAATTGCGCAAACTCGGTTTTTGCCTCATATACTGTATTTGCATGCTTAAATGGCTGCACTTATTTTATATTTTTCTTACAAAACATGAAGAGATGACTGGTGGCTCAAGAAGCAAAAAAAAAAAAAACTAAATAAATTACTGAGGAGGAGATTCTTTGGCAGGATTGAAAATCATGAAGCCAGCCAACCAGAAGGTGGCGCTATTCGGTCACAACACAGTCAAACTAAAAGCCTGTTTCTAAAAGACCCGGTGAAGAAGACCAGACGCTAAAGACGAGAACGGGAGGACGTGACTGTCTGAGCGACTGAAAATGGCTTTGAGGGCATGTTTGAGGACCAAGCCGGGTTTAACAGGTAGGTTTGGGAGTTTCGGGGGAGAAAGTCCGAGTTTGTGCGTCTCTGTTTCCTCAAAACACACCGAGCTCCTGCTGCCGACGGTGCGCTGCAGAAACTGGAGCAAAGGTCGCAGCGCTTGTCTCTTTGTGTCGGTGTGTGCAACTCCACTCACCCACAACACGGGCGCTGAGAGCGAATACGAGGCTGAACGTGTAAAGAAGCGTGTGTTTGTTATGTGCTGCATGCCAGCTGTTAGCTTTAGCTGTCTGTCACAGAGGCTCCGGAAACAAAAGCTCATGAGAAACTGTTCATTAGCGAAAGAAAAAAATGTTTTCGTGCATCATTTCAACTTGGATCTCTTCAAACTATTAACACGACTGCACATTGATACGTATTATATCAAGTTCTATAATAAGTATGCTACATGGCTGTTTCCTGTCTTTTGAATGTGTGTGTTGCTGCTTTGTGACCGATGACTTTGAACTGAGCCAGTGTGCTGTGTTCCTGTGCAGGTCTTCTGTCCCAGCTCTCCTGCAGCGGTCATGCTGCTGCTCGCAGGGCTCCTGCGCTTGTTGCTCAGCGGAGCAGCAGCTCCACCTCACAGAAGATCAAAGTGGATTTTGACCAGAGCTCAGGTGAGCATTTTGCTAATACGACTGTGCAGGTGAAAGGATGCTTTTCAAATGAGACATGAAGTACAACTGTAAGTGAGTTGTTCTAAATATGTAGGGGAAGGTCATGTAAATACAGATGTGTGGAAAATTCAGCTGGCTCTGCCTGTAAGTCTCTTGTCCCACAGACATTAACTCCCCCTGTTTAACTCCAGCTGGCACATGAGGCAGTTCTCCAGCTGTAGCATGTTCAGCTCGGAGCTGAGCGAGCACCACGATCACCAGGGGGAGTTGGAGTCCGTCTGCTGGACTAGAAGAAGCCAAATTACATCAAGGGCAGCCACAACAGAAATACTCTGACTGTTAACAGACCTGTGACTCACCAAAGCTGCATTGTAATGAAATTAAATAAAAGTTATTGTTCAGCATAAAAGGAGCATTTTTAAAAGCTGAGGCGCGTAGCAAGCTTAGAGCAGCGTGATGGATAATGCAAACCCAGCAAAAAAGCAACTGTGTGACTATTTAAAACAACAGTTGATGCTCAAGGCTATTAACCAACCCAGGGAGGTGTAATACACTTCGATAAAATCTTCTTCTCCATCAGAAAAACAATGTTAGTATATTTATTATGCTATAATAAATATCATCTTATATATTACTCGCCTCCCGGTCTGACTGCGAGGAGACAGAGGGGGGAGGGGCAAAAAAACCTGGCAAATCAAATATGTGGATCTGGTGCTGCGATGACTGACTGAGCCCATAAAGTCATCAGGAAAGTGTTTACTGAGGCTAGGAGCTTCTCCCGCACTTTTATAGGGCTGTGTCATTGATATTGATGTCCGCAGTGCCGTGTAGAGTGAAATCCAATAACGTGGGCGATTAAAGTAGAAAAGAATTTATCAGCGTGGTGGCCCCCAAAGCCCCTCCTCTCACCACATCCAGAGCAGAGCCAAGCCTCTGGGAGACCGCTGAGGTGAGTTTCTCACATCACTGTCAGTCCAATTAAAGTGTTAAAGCACCTTAGCGGGTGGATACACCCGTATGAATCAATATCCTCTCACCCCATTGACTTAATTAGTCGGATGCAAAGTGCAGCAGGCCGGCGATCGCTCAGGTTGTTTGTCTTTCCTCTCAGGGATCACTAATTTGAGTTTAATCCAGTGTGACCTCAGCTGCCATCATCAGCAGACACAAAGCATGCAAAATCTCCATCGCAGGTTTCCTGGCGCAGCAATCACTGCAGCATTCTAGTGAATGATCATGGCCTCTGTCTCTGCAGGTGTGGCAGTGATGCACATGCAGAGTCCTCCTGTCAACAGTCTTAGTTTAGAGTTTCTCACTGATGTCTGCATTGCTCTTGAGAAGCTGGAGATGGACAAGAGCTGCAGAGGCCTCGTCATCACCTCGGTACAGTTAAAGCAGCTTTGTGCAGATGGACTAACATCTGTGTTACAGTGAAGTCTTTCATGTTTACAGTTCCACAGCTGAAGTTTGAACATGCTAAGTATAATGACAGCGGGTTTAGCTTCTGGATGTGTTTTACCCTGAAATCCAGAGCCAGCCCAAGGTGTTCTCAGCCGGGCTGGACATCTTGGACATGTATGGGAAGAGTCCAGAGCACTGTGCGGAGTTCTGGAAAGCTGTGCAAGAGATGTGGCTCAAGTTCTATGGCTCCAACATGATCACTATAGCAGCAGTCAATGTACGTATAGAACAACGCAGCACCTACCTCCACACTGTCTGCACCTCACACAAGGACAGAGTGGTGCATTCTGGGGGGCAAACACACTGAAATAAGCTTGCGGGCTTCTCGTTACTCGTCACCCAGGGCTCCAGTCCTGCAGGAGGCTGCCTGCTGTCGATGACATGTGACTACAGAATAATGGCGGATAACCCTCGTTACAGCATCGGTCTCAATGAGACCAAGCTCGGCATTGTAGCACCTTTTTGGTAAGAAATTACACCAACCCTAATTACAATAATAATTGATAGTACCAGCAGCAAGGTAGAAACACAGTTTACATGCATTAGTCTCATTTAAGCTCAGTGAGTGCGAGAGGTTTGCAGTTAGCTTCTTCTTGCATGGTTCTCCTGCGCTGTAACGCCGCTGCTCATGTTGTGGAGATAAAAACAAAGAACTCATTCCAGTCTCACTGCGGTTCATCTTTTTGAATCGGGGTTTGTATAATTTTGTGCCAAAGCCCCTAAAACCAATACAACTTCTCAGTTTAAAAACTGTTTTATTAACATTTCACACCCATTTTTGTTTTGTCTTGTCACTGTAAAACTGCTCCTGCAGGTTTAAGGACACTATGGTAAACACAGTCGGACATCGGACCACAGAGATGGCCCTACAGTTGGGGCTGCTGTACAGCCCTGCAGAGGCCTTGAAGATAGGATTGGTGGACCAGCTGGTGCATGAAGACCAGGTCCTCACTACAGCCACAGAGACCATGACCAAGTGGTTGGCTATTCCAGGTATGCTAAACATCAGTTATACTTGTCATTTTTTCCACCTGTGGTGCTGCAACTTGGTCTGCACAATATGTTCATGTGTATGTCAGGTTATTGCTGCCAAAAAGATTCACCTGAGTCAAGATTTCTAATCTTGTTTCTATTCAAGATAAAGTAAAAAGTCTGACAGCTCTTTGGTCATTTGACCACATTTTGAAGTCAAGGTAAAAATGTCTCCGTCTGTCCTCTTCACTGCTGTGCTGCTCATATGTGTCATAATCAACACAGGAGAACCTAGAACAAAGTTTAATCGGTCGTCCTATTATCTCAATGCTGCTGTGGGTTTTTCAGTCAAACAGATGTTAGATGGAAATGTGTGATCACCTCTGTAAAATCAGACGTTTTGGCACGTTGAGGTTTTGGAGTATTCAGGTGGTTAATTTCACGGTCTTCACAAGGTCGAACTACAACACTCTACAACAAACAAAACGAGCTACATGTCTGAGACTACAGGCTCAGTTAGCATGTTAGCACTTGTCAACATTTCAAGACCAGACAAGCATGACTCATTTGACACCAAAGCGGACACGTTTGAACATAATGTTGCATGGTGCAGTCAGTGAGTCGATCATAAGCACGTCATGCATCTATCCAATATCGAAAGCTTTGCCCAAATTGTGCCACGATCCCTTCACAGCAGCCAACCTGCAACAGACGTGCTGGAAATGAAAAGAATCGAGGTTTTGCAGTGACCCCGTCAAAGTCCAGACGTCAGCTGGATTGAAATGCTGCGACCTTATGAAAGAATTCTCCCCAAACCTCAATGAGCTGGAGTCGCACTATAAAGACAAACGGGCCAAAACTCCTCCGACGATGTGAGACTGAAAGTCGTGCAGTCAATAACGACTTTATTGCTGTTCAAGGTAGTTCTGCAGTCTACTGCATCATGGGCAGTAAAACCAGAGTTCCTGCACACTATCAAAGACAAGGAAATGATGTTTTATTTAAAGTAGATTTATTTGTGTGGCTCAGGTGGGTGGAGCAGGTCATCCACTGATCGGAAGGTTGGTGGCTCGACTCCTGGCTCCCCCTGGTCTACGTGCCAAATTTCCTTGGGCAAGATACTAACCCCGAATTGCTCTGAATGTGTGTGAACGTTAGCTATGAAGCACTTAGAAAGATGTGCTTGTGTGAATGGGTGAATGCACAAGTTGTGTAAAGTGCTTTGAGCGCTCAGATGAGTAGAAACGCGCTACATAAGAACCAGTCCATTTACCATTTGGGTAATAAAATTGCAGGTAACATTTCCAAGGCAGGTAGGAAAAAAATGAGCTGCTCTCAGTGTATGTTTGTTTTAAGGTGAGGTGCCACGAGCCCGCATGTAGGGAGATGTAACCTCGTACCTCAGAAGTGTCGATATGGGTGTATTTCCATCTGTACAGCAGTATTTAGTACATCCTGGTACTTGGCAGGATGTGCAGGAGGCAGAGAAAGAGCATAAGCTTTCAGCACCTGTTAGAAATGTCACTTTCCCACATAAGAAATAAAAGGTGCTCCACAATAGTGCTGCAATTGAATATATTTTGCAATGAATTGAAGCCCATGTCAGTATTCATAGAAGAAATTGTATATGAATGCACAGCTTCCTTACATGTGCATTTGTTTCATTTGCAGATCACGCCAGACAGCTCACAAAGTCCATGATGAGGAAGCCAACCATAGACAAGCTGGCGGCTAACAGAGAGGCTGATGTCAATAACTTTGTCAAGTTCATCACCAAGGACTCTATTCAGAAGTCCCTGGGGATGTATCTGGAGATGCTTAAGAGAAGAAAGGCTTAGAGAGGGGAAACATGTTTGCACACTTTGTAGCACCAGCTACAGATGTGATCTGACATCAGGCAGTGAGCAGTCTACATGTTTGGGGGATCAAACCCAGCATTTACACCTCAAGGTGTTAATAAAAACACTCGAGGTTAGGGTGTGACTTTTTGTTTTTGTTTGAAGAGCCGTACACTCGGGCAACCTGCCGAGCCTTCTCCATCACTCAGCATTACCTGCAGTATGCTTACGCGAGCAAACTGCTAATTGTTGCAAAAGAGTCTCACATATGAAGAACTAACAGCAAATCGGACCTTTAGTGCATCTAAATGTGGCAAAGCCTTTGTCATCTCTAACAAATGTTTGGTTTTTACTGTGAAATATCCAAATAAATGTCTGGATTCATACGTTAAATGGATTAAAACGTGTGGTTCTCATTCATTATCTCTGTAACTCAGACGTCTCTACATTCAAATGACAGTTGAGAATGTTAAAAATTCAGCGGACAACCAAATCAAAAATGAATCTTGCATTCTTATAACAAGGAGCATTTTTCATTCTTTGTATGTTTGTGTTTTGGACAATTGAATCAATATACGACACTTCAAAAGGACCCGAGTGTCAGCGCAACACAATCGGCTAAACTTCAGGTGTGCAGTGTCTCCACACTTTTCACTGTCACGTCCTGTGTGTGACAGACATGAATGACCTCTGCTGTGGTGCTCCCTGTTTTCTTTGAGCACTTTACACTTAAAATTACTCTTAAATGTGTTTGGATTTGTCAATGTGTGAGTCGTCTACTAAGCCTAAAGCTACAAGTCACTAATGTGACTCCTGGAAAAGTAAATGTTCTTTCATGTAAAGAGATGAAATCAGCACGTGTATTCACTTTAATATTACATCCTCGGGGGGGAGGTTAAGTATTTTGCAGCAGCTGGGTATTGAACTGCAAACCTTCCAATTAGTAGAACTGAACTACAGCAACCCCAACTCAACTGTTCAGCCAGGACAAGCAGTGCTTGTCTAGTCAGTTGTACCAAAGCATAAGTGATGTGCTTCTACATCACTGCCATCTTGAGGCTGCAGTCAGCTATCGTCTCTCCAAGCACACTTCTCTTGGACGCTATTAGAAACTCTAGTGTGTCTATTTCCCAGGCG